CCCTTCCTCTCTCTCTCTCTCTGTGTGCACAACCGCCCCAGTTTAGTTTGATGCTCTGCTTCGTTTGAGAGCGAGCGGCTCCTCTTCGGAGTCCTTTTTCAGTACTTCTCATCACCTTCGCCCTCCGCGCCCTGGCCACCCTTTGCCTCGCCGCCTTCATCGTCTGTGGTCTGCCACGGCATTGTTTCACTGGTTCACGGGCTGCTGTGCCTCTCTTTCCAACCGACACTCGTCTTCCTGGTCATCAGCTTCATTGCCAGTGGTACCTCCTGCTGGTGCATCCTCCTCTGCTGCCTGTGCTGTCTTCCGTTGTCTCCCTTTGCCTCACTCTGCTGGTTGGAGGGCAGGAACGCATGCCTTTACTCGAGCAGCAATGTACTTCCCTGAGTGCTCCGTGGTCGTGGTCTTTGTTGCACCTTCCCCCAGGTAAGTGTGTGCCATGCATTTGGAAGGTTGTGTGGCCTTCCTCCACGTCTCGTTCAATTCCCTCTCAATTTCAAGGAGCTGACTGCGAAGTCTCAGACGCAAGATGTGTCATTCTGCTGCGCCACCACCACCCTGACCATTTCCTTCCTGCTCATCCCCCGCATCAGGAGAACTCTCAATGTACCTTATATGTTGTTATCTAGTCCTTCACACACTGATAGGCTTCTTTTAAAAATTTGGCTAGAGTTTGCCCTCGTTGTCCTCCCACACAATGTACCCGCGCTCCGGCTTCTTTGCTCTGATACTGTCCAACAGATGCTGGTTCCATCTGTTGAACACAACTTGTTCATATGTCCAGGAGAGTTTGTTCCTTGGCCGTGTGTGTATACGCTTGAAACAGGCTCGAGTTCGTCTCACAAGCAGAGGTGGAGCAGCTTTGCCCAAGCAACCGAATTACTGCACCATTTCCACCACCACCTTGCTGGCTGCTCCCCTCTTGCCGCCGCCCTTGCTTCTTCTGAATTGAACCTCCCCAAACGATGAATCCACCGGTCCACCTCCTCATCCATCTCGAGCTTGCCCCAGGAGTACACCCAAGTCCAGAACCATTCAAGACCTTCCTCGGTAAGCGGCTGGCTGTTTCTGTCGCTCGCCCAGACACCTCCTCTCTCCTCCTTCCAGCCCATCTCCACCTGCTGCCTCCTCCTCCACACTCTGTCCGCAGACGAAGCGATGGTAGATTGACGGCTCAAGGCGGTCAGCAGCAATGGCTGTTGACAATGAGCGACAACGAGTGGGGGCGAGCGGGCAGAGCAAAGTGAGGCAGCCAAGAGGAGGCGACTTATGTGCAGAGCAATGTGAGGCAGCGAAGAAGAGGCGACTTAAGTGCAGAGCAATGTGAGGTAGCCAAGAAGAGGCGACTTAAGTGCAGAGCAATGTGAGGCAGCCAAGAAGAATCCCGCCGCACCACCGCCAACAAGAAAATAATATTGAAATGCTAACGTGGGTGGATTCCATTTTCTCATTCCCTATGCCACACTGTGCCTCTTTCGTGACTCAGTGTGGTTTGGAAGGCCAAACTGGGCCCGAAGAATCACCTTAGGAATTTTGGCCACCTGCCTGGGTGCCAACAAACTCTCCCAGGCAGCCCCTCTGTCCTTTCAAATTTGGCCTGGTGGGGGGCTCCTATCTGGACCTTCTGGACCGGACACTGGACACAGATCTCGGGACCCAGTTCGTCTGCATTGCAGGCAGGACGTCTGGACCGCTACCTTGATAATAATGCTATACACTCAGATGCAGCTCGAACACCTGATGAGCTGCACTTAGATTGGAAACCTAGGACGGCCTATCTGGACCCTATGGACCGGACACTGGACACAGACCTCGGGACCCAGTTCGTCTGCATTGCAGTCAGGACGGCTGGATCGTTACCATGATAATAATGCTATACTCTCAGATGCAGCTCGAACACCTGATGAGCTGCACCTAGGTTGGAACCTAGGACGCCTCTCGACTTCCTGTTTCCAGACCACAAGTAGAATATGCCCTCAAGTATGAGAGAGTCTTGAAAGAGAGCGGCGAACAGTTAGAAAAATCGCAAGGGACAATGATTGAAACAGAGAATAAGCACAGACGAATGCCTACGTCTCAGATAGGTGATCTAGCTCGGGGCAATTAATTTGAGTTCGTGCCCGAGCAGGACATATCAGGAAAGCTGACAACCCAGTTTTTCGGTCCCTGGACTGTTTGGTTATCATAGGGAGGGATCCTGATGGGCCATCATCTCATATGATACCTGTCCCACCTCGTCTCCATACTTACCCTGTTTTTCATGCATCCAAACTCTTGCCTTTCGCAGAAAGCGATCAGTTTCCTACCTGCCGATCAATGCTGCCCCCACAAAGTGGAGGTTATGTCGACATCGACCAAATTCTGGAGCACAGAGAGTTACCTGTGCAGAAGCCACGAGGCAGAGGCAGACCTCCGAAGCCACGGTTGCAGTTCAGAGTGGCTTTTAAGGATCATCCAGACCCGAAGGAAGACTGCTGGTTCACAAGGGAAGAGCTTATCAAGTCTGCACCCGAAGTGGTTCTACACTACGAAAGGGCTATGAAAGGAAAGCAACGGCAAGAAGATTGAAGGTTCTGCAGAGGGCTTTGAACCCCAAGGGGTTGGGTTGGGAGTGCAAGCTTCCAGGCCTTGACGGCACCCATCAGGTGCCGCCTGCACCAATTTGCCCAGGACCTAAGTGAAGATCGGCTGTAAAAAAAGTGACTGTCGGGCAGAAAAGTAACTGCCACGGCATATGGAGGTGGTGGAAGCTGTTTCGGATGCTTCCTGTGCGTGCAGAAAGGACTCAGCCCAGGTGGCGGTACCGCGGCCTCCCTCAGTTGACAAAGACATCTGAGGCCGGTCCATTCATTCATTCGACACAGTGGAGGAGCGCTGGCTAAGTGAGCTAAAAATAGTGCAGCAGAAGCTGGCTGGTCCCTGGTGCGGTGATGACGAAGGAGAGAGCTGGTGCAGTCAAGCGGCTCTCCCTGTGGCAGCCATAGGCGCACAAGAGGAAGATGGAGTGTGCAGGGGCTTGGGAGGATGATGCGAAGTGAACAGTAATGTGCAGTGGGACTAACTCGATGGTGGTCGAAGAGCATCGTTAAGGAAGAAGAAGACCGGAACACTAAGTAAGAGAGAGAGAGAGAGAGAGAGAGAGAGAGAGAGAGAGAGAGAGAGAGAGAAGAGAGAGGTAGGAAGTTGGCAGAGTAAGACAGGAAGTATTATAGTTGGTTTTATCTTGTTGTTGTCGTTTCGGTATATGGAGGCAAGTTGTCAGGCTTTCTGTATCCAGAGACTCCAGCATAACTGTGTTCTCATTTGGTGTGTTTTGGGCTTGTAATCTGCTTTGGACTTTACTCTCATGTGCGTGCTCTGCTTTTTTTTTTTTCTCTGCAATGGAAAAATTGGAAGGTCATCGCTTGTTTCCTTGCACTTTCTCAATATTTCATTATTTCAGTTCTTCAAAGCCTGTCGTTCCCTTACATTTTCAAAGTAAAGGATTTCTAGATGTGCGGCCCCCCTCTTCTTGTATCTCATCTCAACTAGTGTGTGTGTGTGTGTGTGTGTGTGTGTGTGTGTGTGTGTGTGTGTGTGTGTGTGTGTGAGAGAGAGAGAGAGAGAGAGAGAGAGAGAGAGAGAAGAAGAAGAAGAAGAAGAAGAAGAAGAAAATGAAAATGGATGGGGTGATTGACAACTGGAATGTTTCTGCCACAGGAATGGAGGTGATTGACAATTGGAATCTTTCTGCAACAGGGACGGAAATGCTCGACAAGGAGTACGACGTTCCTGGAAGCCGCAGGACTGTGTAATATCAGCAGTAGATTGGATGTGTCTTCCAAAAGCAGGGTAAGGTTAAGACCTAGCCACGGTCGGGATGACTGCGGTTCTGGGGACCATCTATGCATATATTTCATAGAATGCCAACAGCCAAGCCAAGCCAAGGTTGATGACCACCTCTGGTGACCACAGCTGTTGTGGCAGTGGTGATGTTGGTAATACTCTTTTTTCAGTAAGCTCAGGAATAAAAATAACAACCGAGTTAACGGAGGGATTTGTTGGGAGCTTGGTGTTCCAAGCACAGGAGTGGATGCTCTTGTGAGCCATTGTGTTGCATAGCATTCCCAGTCATGGTGGTGTTCAGAATCCCTTTGTGTTTCCTCCTCTCTGCTGAGCCAGCTGTGTAATTGTCTGCCTGGATCAGACTTTGTCTGCCTTCCCCTTCTCTGTGTGCAGGCCCCCCCTGCACCCGTATCTTCCCCGTGTTTGCTTCCCCTAGCCCTTCTACTTGTTGCCAACTCCTCTATCTCCTCTCTGTGACTGCTCCTACTGCTGCTGTGTGATCCCCTTATGGGTGGGATTGCCTGATGGCTATGGAGTTGTACAAACCAAGCATAAAGAACAGCCAGACCAAACGGTATATAAATGAGATGGGAGGCAGTGTAGAGCCATGTCTTTTCTGTAAACATTATGTAGTGTAGAGCTGGTCAGGTACTCGGATACGGATATAAGGTTCTTGAGCTCTGTGGTTCCATAGCTGGTAGGAACTGTGTACATAAAGATGGCTATGTGCTTTTCCCACCAATAGATTTCAGATTGGCTATAGTGAGGCCATTGTGTTTCACATTACCACCTCCAGCTCCTGATTTTATGCACATGAATTTCAGATTATCTGCCGCGGTTTTCATCCTGTCGTCATCGTATTACGAACCTCGATGGGTTAGCACCTGTGGTCCCAGCGGGCAAAGGTACTCGTGGGAGTCGTGGCCCCATTCAGATTTCTGTCACCTGACAAGAACTCGCTGTTGCCAGTCTCATCTGGACTGGTGGCGTTTTTCCTTCTCGCCTTGATCTATTACGTAAGTGCCTTTTTGTGAAAGTCTCTTTTGCCGTGAAAGTTGTATTGGTCCGCTGAACGACTTGTCAGGTTACTGCCTTGCATGCAGTTGAGAACAGTGTCTGTCGTGGACCGTGCAATTCTCAATTAGTTTTTTCAATGTAGATGATGTTTGTGTTTTCCCTTTTCGCTGATATTTGTTTGATTGCGTGTATGTGTGTTGGAATGTGTGTATAGCGACCCACAAAGGGAACAATACCACATATGTGCACTGTCATCACATAATGCAACGATGTACCATAGCATATTATATGTTTGGAACTAGACAAACTGGCATTACACAAGAAGCCATGCATGCAGTCAAGCAATTCCAGCCACATGGACGGACAGAGAGAAGGGGTAAGATTGAGAAAAGAGGAGTGGAAATAGGAGATGAGATTGGGAACTGAGATGGCACAGTAGCCATCCGGGAGGGTTGGCACATTTGGTGAAGCCGTGCTCACTGTTTGTTTGTTGTGTGTGTGTGTGTGTGTGTGTGTGTGTGTGTGTGTGTGTGTGTATGTTATATATGCATTGTGTGGCTTCTGCGACCGCGTCACAGCATGTTGTGCTGAAGAGTGCGCTTATAAACAACACCGGGAAAGAGCCCGCAGCCAGGGATGCCCATAGAAAA